CAGTGGGTTATTTGCAGTGTTACCTGAACGGGCAGAAATAACCACCAGACAAACATTTGGATGTTTTTTATTGCATTTATTTAATGATTATTACTTATAGGAAACTGTTGCTTTGGATCCCTGCAAATGACCTTTTTAGCACCCATTTCACAAATCTAAAACATCTTTAAATGATTACACCTTCATATCAACAACAGCACATAAACAATTACAAGACACAACACACAAATTGTCCAAACTCTTGTTCCATCCACGTAACTGATATCCATGTTTTACTCCCGAGATACAGGAACACATCTGTGGAGCTGTGTCTCTAATTATGGCTAAAACATTGTTGTTTGTTATAAAACTTATCAACCACTTCTACAAGCACAATGTCATTTTTTTTTAAATGACTATTTTGTCTTTAACTTCCAAAGCATAAAGAAGCTCATTATAAACATCTTCATAGTTTAATTTTACTGAAACAAATCTGTTTCTTGAGCCTTTGACCCCATGTAGAGGTACCGCTGTTATTGAGGACACATTTGTATGAGGAGACACCTTACCCAGTATATGGACAAACTGTGTTCTTATTACACATGGAAACTTCTTAAGAAAATGTCCAAAATGAGAAATGCAGAGGAAACGCTGCACCACCATCACCAAGAAAAAAAGAGTCCCTGACCATGCATTTATCAAAATATGATAGATTACACCTGCATGGTAATGTTTCAAACATTTTCCATTTCCGTAGACATTGAAGCCGTGTAATCACTTGTAAATTCCAGTTCCTCTGCTGCCTTTGAAACATCCACGTCAAAGTGACTTGTTGTTATTGAGGCATCATTTCTAAGTCTTCCACTTCTTACAGTGAGTGTCAGATGATTGACAGGAAGCAGTGACATGAAAACAATCAACACAATGAAATGACAATATTTTATTACAACTTTGTCCTGAAAGATAAACAATGAAGCTATATATTATCAAATTCTGAGCTATGTTGATGGAGTTTACAAGAATTAACCATTTGTTCTGAAACAGCTTTTTGGTTTCTGAAAGCAACATTTGACCTGTTGTACTCCCTTGACAATCACTGGTAAAGCATGTAGTATTAATAATGTGGCAAATGACTAGTCAAATGTCATCCCTGCATGGAAATACTTTCATGCAGAAGGGAGGATGAACATGACTCAGCAGATATTTGGTTCGCCAAAGTTGTAGTCATATTGTACAAGATCCTTTGTAGCGAGGATGCCCATCTCACAGAAAACAAAGTGGAAAACAGACAGAAAAAAATGTTAGAGCTGTTCTTTTGCAAATCAACAAGCAGAACCAGACTCACTAAATCTTAATGATAACAAACCCCAATTTTCAACCCAATTTGCTCATGTCTCTTCTTTTTCAAATGTATTCTAAACCCTTGCATTTGGACAGCTAACACTTCCGAAGATGTGTTTTATTTCTGACCGATCTAAGATCTATGCCTATATGTTGCTCTCATAGGACACACTTGTTCGTGAGCCAGGCAAACGTAGGCCCATCTCAGCATCCTCATCAGAAACTGTGTGGATTGAAACTTTGACATCCAAGTCACCTTCAGTGTGGCGTCCACTTGACAGTAGTGCCTGGCAAACCTCCTCCTCCTCATGGCCTATATCTGGTCTGATCACAGACAACGATGTCTCACCCTGAGGCCCTTTGTTCCCCGTGTCCACGACCTCCTCTGAGAACGTGCGGCAGTTGAGGATGAGCGGCGGCAGAGGAACGCTTCGAGCCAGATCCTCCATGTGCCGAGCGAACTCCATGGTCTTGTACTGTGTGACCTTGGCGAGCTCCAGCGTCTTGGCGGACGTGATGATGGGAATGTGCTTGGCGACCTCCAACGCCTTCTGCAGCTTCTCTGCGCCCTCGGTGCGGAAGAACTCGTTGATGGCTCTCTCGGTCTTCCTGAGGTGGCTGCTGACCATGCAAAGCCGTGCTATGTTGAGGGGCACGGTGATGGCGAAGGCCACCAGGCAGACGATGACGAAGTACAGGCCCAGGCCACTGCTGTTGTGGGCAACACGAATAGTTACGGTGTAGTTTTTAGTCTCGCCTGTCCAACTGGTGGTGACGCAGGTATAGCGGCCACGATCATTGAAGGAGACCAGAGTGATGTTCAGAGCTCCATTCTCCTGAATCTGCCATTTTTCACCTGAAGGCGAAACACAAAAAACAAGGTTTTTTTTTATACCAAAAACCGTGATTTTGAAAAAAATGTTAGCTGATTTGAACAACTCATCCCCTTCACTGTAGTGACACAGCATCAAAAACATTTACATAGGTCAACAAACCCCATAAGGACTCATTTCTCAATATCATTTAAATAAGTACACCTGATTAAGAAAAAAGTGGTTCACGATACGATAATACATTATTGTCAGAGCAAGCTTGACATTGTTCTTGATTCAACATAACATTACAATGACAGAGCACTATATGTTGTTCAAGAATCTTTAACATACATTTGACCGTGAATTGACTGCATTCAATTTAAGGATTGGCTGGTGCAAAGAAAGTGATTGAGTCTAACTTCATTAAATTGTGGGACCCTGTATCACCAATTTGATTTTGATCTGTATATTGATTTGATTATAGATTTCAGAACATCGATGCTTCTCCAGTGTAGTGTCAAAGTGCACTAGCAAAGGATCTGATTATTTTGTTTTACTTGCTTGTAAGCACTTTGAGCACCAGGAAAAGTGCTTTATAAATGTAATGTATTATTATTATCATCTAAGAGTGCTGTAAGTATGTTGTTGACATAGTAGGGTTTTTGACAAATCTCTGTTGAAACAACAGTTTCAGAACAATGCACATGTACATTAAGGATGAGGCAGGCAGTAATGACAGATTTCAAGTCTTGATAAAAAACACAAGAAGATGGAGTGTATGTTTTTCTTTTTTTAAATATAAACAACAACTATGGGTCTAAATAACTCAATGTTCTTCATGAACTCTTTCTCAGCACAGCATTTCTTCCCCTCTCATCAGTCCTTACTCAGCAGAGGTCCATTAGAGTTGAACCACTTGGTGTCATTGTAGCCTCCGGTCACATTACACTCTATCAGCGCAGTGGTTCCCTCATTTACCACAATGTCCCCGCTGGAGAGGATAACCAGACGCATGAGGGGCACCGGCACCGGCACCGGCACCGCCTCCGGCACCGGCACCGCCTCCGGCACCGGCACCGCCTCAGCTTCTGACCCATTCTGAGCTCCGTCTGCTGCCCAGCCACCGAAGAGCAGGACTGTGAGAAGCAGGTGAGACAGGTGGCGTCTCTGAGGTGGCAACATGTCGGAAAGAGTTATAGCTTCAGCTCACATTTAGATGAGAAGAACCTGCAAAACAGGAAGACTCTACGGTTATGTTTCACACAGCAACACAGGATTTTAAACACTTACTTTTTTGTGTCTTCATAAGAGTCATGTCCATATTAGAACAATCTTTATAGAATCCATCATTGACATTTCGTCTTTCTACAATTCAGTATTTTAACATAGACATATGGATTTTCACAACATCTTCTTTAATGTAGGCCTATTCCTTTTTAGTGACAAATCTAAACCAAATATTAACATCTAGACGTTCAAGGCCAAAACGTTATGATATAAAAAGACAGACATGTTTTTCTTCTTCAATAATTACCACTCATTTGTTGCCTTTGCTTTTTCCATCACAATTTGTAACTACAATCATATTTAGATATCTAATTTTCTTTATTTTAAACTAAAAATAATTTGATTAAAATGATGTCTAGGGAGCACAGTCGTGTATAGGGTAGTGTGTGTGTATAGGGTGATAACATAGGAGACGTATCACTATTATATCATAACTCAGCGTAGTATTGCAGTACATAGGCCTACGGTACATGTATGCTTTGGTGTCATGTGAAAGGAATAGTAGAGTAAACAATCAGTTTATAATACAGTTATCAAGTAACAACAACAGTATCTCAAGCTCAGCTGGAATAATATGTGTGTATTTAGTGCATTTAACTGAAGTAAAAACCTACAGATAAAACAGAATCACCAAATTCACAAGAACCTAAACTGACAACATTCACAATGTTTCCCACCTGCTGCTCGGACAGCGACCAAACCAACTAATCCTCGAGCGACATAGACATCCAAAAAAATAACTGGAATATATTCCTTTTAGTTTTAAAGTATGTTACTCAGTTTTAACACGCAATTGTTTGAACAAAGCAGACACGAGCTGCCTGTCCGGTCCGTCTACTTCCTGCTTCAAGTAAGAGGGAGTGGGTGTGGCTAAAGTGTTGGCAATTCTCCCAAGATGCAGCAGGAGAAGGTGGGTGTAGGACTATGGTGTAGGATTGTTCTTATTATACATCCATGATTGTACCGGCTAGTGGAAAGATGACATGCTGAAGTACAGCATGTGTTATGATAATTACTAATAATTAATAATGATAACATGTTCATATAAGACTGTCATCCATTTATATTTTGTATTTGCCATCAAGTTAAACGTTTTGAGGATAGTGCAAATTGTTAGCATTTTTTCGAGAATAAATGAATATACAACTAATACACATAAATGCCTTGTGTTTTAAAAGCTTTTTTCCTTACTGTAATTTTGTTGTGAAAAAATACCGTTCCGGAAGTACTGTTTTGATTTGACTGTATTTTACAGTACTTCTTGCATCAAGCTGATTTATGCGATGACCGGCATTACGGTTTGACTTTCTTCAAAATAAAATCGTTACACCTCCAACGCTTGGAAAATAAAATAATATGTTGAAGGAAAGAGACATTTGAGTAAATATCTCATTCTATGAAATACAATAAAAAGAGGACATATTTGACATATTTTGATAGGAAGATGTCTTTCAATCTGTTTCGTTGGATGGAATCGCTTTACAAGAATACTTACTTAGGTAATGACTTACCCTTTGACCTCTGTTTTTAACCGTCAACTTTTGTTTTGAAAAGTCAGCCGGAAGCTATTCTTCTCATTTTGTCTAACTGTCAGTTACTTGTCAGTAAAAACAAAATGTGACGTGGCTAATCCTTGTGGACAAAAAGAACGAGAAACCCTGAAGCAATAGCTGTTTACGGGGAAACTAAAAGGCGTTACAGGTGCAAACTGAAATATTAGAGGCAGACCTATCGTGCTGTTGATTTGGGGAAGGAAACGGTTAGCAGGCTGGGGTTAACTGCTAGCATCAAAACACTGACAGCAACAAGGTGAGTTGGTAGCTAAAAGTGAATCAATTTGTGTTGTATATCAATGTGTGTAGCTAAAGTGTATCAGTGTGTTGTTTTTCCACTAAAGAATGTGTTTATATATAGTTATACAAACAGCGTTATATGTTTTAAACGTGCGCTTCTTCTAGTCATTCTGTCAGATAGATATTAAATGGACTGTACTTATATACATTACTTAACATAACATATTAGCATCTCAATGTAATGCATTAATAGCAATTTAACTAATACAACCATAATATTGCTAATTGTCAAAGGAATATGTCACTGAATGTAAGCTTCATATTATACACATTATAACATCGATTCTTATTCCTGATGTGTATTAGCATGCACAGAGATACTGTACTTACCACTTTATGTGGACACCTTTTGTTGTAGTTTGACTGAAATAAATCCCAGAATGGACTTTAAACTGACACTCTGCAGCTGCACAGATAACTGACTGCTTAGTTGACTGCTGTTCCCTGGGTGTTGAGGAAATGCATTCTGGAAAATGTATGTTATCACTGATTGAAGGAAAGTGGTTTCACAAAAACAGTGAATTACACTTTCTGTAAAGTAACAACTGGAATTAAGTTGTTTGATATAATAATTGAGACTGATTGGATATTTCCTTAAACATCAAATATTATGTTATAATTGTTATATTTTCACTTTAAAGGCATGTACTAAGACATTGAGATGTCAGACAGCGAAGCTCCAGGCGCTCCAGAGGCGTCTACAGAGGTGTCTACAGAGGATGGCTCTCCTGCAGAAACCCCTGACAGATCCTCACCGACCACTCCTGACAACTCCACTGACGTTGCCCCGACGAGGAAAGCGAGGAGGAGACCAGAAATCCAACCAGTAGCTGACGTCAAGGAGAAGCCGAAAGTAGAGGAGCAGCCGGCAGAGGCACCGGTGAGATAATTATTGTTTATACTAGAAATACATACTAATTGTATGAGAGCATATGCCATTAAAAAGACAAACATTTGGTAACATTTTCTGAGCCTGACGATTATGGTGAGGCTAAGCCACGTAAAATAAAATGATGTCTGGGACAGATACTTTTGGGTACTTAAGTATTCTAAAAGGAGAGGCTGATTTAAAACCATCTCAAGTCATCTCCTGGCTCTACATTGAGTATTATAAATGTGTTTTAAACAAGATGCTGTAGTGTTCTTTTACTAAAGCAAAACCACCAAAGATCACTTTTGCACTGAAGTAATTGATTTCTTACTCATTTGCAACTTTTCTCTCTGTCTTTTCTTTTCTACTTCCTCCTTTTTTTTGCCCTTTCTTTCCCGTATTCCTCTCTCTCAGACACCCAGTCAGTCCACGGTGTCTCAGGGTGGCTGGGGATACTGGGGCAGCTGGGGGAAAACCATCTTATCTACAGCAACAGCTACTGTGGCAACTGTGGGTGAGTATAGACCACCATATACACAATGCTCATGGTGGTCCTTTCAGTTATCTACTCTGAGAACTACAGCCAGTAGTCTAATTATCACATGTTTAGGGTTTAAACTCACCACATTTCTGTTTTTAACCATTACATTTCTTCTGTCCATCCAGGCCAAGGCCTCACTCAGGTGATAGAGAAGGCTGAGACATCGCTGGGAATCCCCAGTCCCACCGAACTCTCAGCACGAGTAGAGGAAGAGCAGAAGGAGCAAGGTGGGGCTTTACTGTATGACAACACATCCCACCTTTTCTCCATATTGTCTTAGCCTTGTATAATGTGGTTTTTATTTGCTCTTCCTGAAGCTGAATCCAGTAGTGGGACGGACAGAGTGCCGGGCGATGGCTCTGCGGCGGTGGAAAGTGCGTTTGGGATGCTGTCTTCGCTCACTAGCGTTGTCCAGAGCACAGTAAGCAGGAATATCCACTGTTCTGGGACTCAGGAAGGAGAAGTTTATATTTTTGCATCTGAAATATCCAGTTTCATATGGAAGAGTTGAAATAGTAGTAACAGTTGTATACAGTACAAATAGAAGTAGGAATGGGGAAGGTAACAGTGTTTATGTGTCTTTATTTAATACCTAGTGTAACCATTGGAACACATGCATGCACATTATCTTGCATCAGTACATGCTTTGTCCCAAAACATACATTTTTTTGTGGACTTTTGATATTGGACTCACAATACTCAACCATGGCATTCTTGTTTTACTTTTATGTAAGTCAAATTCCTCGTACGTGTGAACCTACCTGGTAATAAACCTGCTTCTGATTCTTCTGATAAGGATTGACCATGGCATCAGTGAAAATTGTAAGGGAAACTTCTGTGTAGCAATGCAGTAGGAGTCACCGACACAGGAAGAGCAGGAGCTTTGATGTCAAACACTGATGGTTTATTTGGAGCTTCGGCCGGAGAATTCACAAAACAAGTCCAAGAGCCAGAGGTTCTGACTTCACGGTAGAGTTGCCACGTCAAATCTGAAGAACTCTACCCCAGACCCATGTATTTAGCTAGTTCAGAGAGCATCATCAATATGCTGCATAACAAGATAGAATCATAACACCTCTATCAGCTTACACCAACAGGCAGGAACAGGGAGACAGAACACTGAGAGCACAGCAGCCAAGGTTACGGGTAACTGGGTCAAAGTTATGGGCCTTGGAAAATATTTCCCCAACAAAAATGATCTTATAAGGTGAATGGATGCTAAGAACATACAGCTTTCGGGAAATGATGATTTTTCTTTCATTTGTATTTCCTTCTCCTCTCAGGGGAAAACGATGATAACTGGCGGTCTGGATGCTCTGGAGTTCATCGGGAAGAAGACGATGGATGTGATAGCAGAAGGCGATCCTGGCTTCAAGAAGACCAAAGGGCTGATGAATAGGAACTCCACTCTGTCTCAGGTGGGCATACTGGGGTCAAACATGTACATTAGGAGGACAAACACCTATAAAGACAGATAATATATCATGACATACCTCTTCATATCAGTTTATAATCAAAAGTGAGCTGAACCAAAATGTATCTAGCAAGAAGAAACTTGATTGACTGCTGGTTTGAAGAGAAAAGCACATTTTCATCTGTACTGTAACAATAAGGTAAAACTACTGTAAGACAAATATCCCAATGGATATACATCCAATAAGAAGACACAAGATGTAAATAAAAACAAACTTAAAGTGGACCTATCATGCTATATTTGAATAATATATTGTAGGGCCATACCTATATAAAACATGTCTGTGAAGTTTTTTTTTCAAAATACCAAACAGATAGTGCATTTTAGCCATGTCTCATTTCGCTCTATTTGCTCTATTCCAGCCCTGTCTTCACAAGGGCTGATTCGAGCGCCATGTTACCATGCTGTTACCATGCTGTTACCATGCTGTTACCATGCCACGGCAACCCCCCATTCCCCTGATAGGTGGAGAGTTGCCCATATAGGCGGAGCACCCCGTTTCTGACGTCAGAGATATTGCAAATCTGTATCAGATCCGTTGCAGCCCCGTTTTTAGAGATTTGGGTATGGAGGAAAAGAGAGAGGGTTGTGTTTTCTGACACTTGTTGAGTTCCCTGACACACCGGGGACACATATTCATGTATAAAAGACGTACAAAAGTGCATTTTGCATGATAGGTCCCCTTTAACTTAGGTATCTTTACAAAATAATCAGAATTCCAGAAATCAGTTTTATCAGCATTAATGTGAACCAAACTGAAATAAAGTTGCAGACTAACTCTAGTTGAACTCCTGATTGTCTAGCGTGTAACATTTGTCCACTCTCTCTCAACTTCTCATCTCTCTCTGCATCGTAGGTGTTGAGGGAGGCGAAGGAGCGTGAGGAGCAGCAGACGGCAGAAACAGAGTCTTCAGATTCCGAGAAGAAGATGGTCGCTCACTACGGGATGCTGTTTGACGAATTTCAGGGTCTGTCACACCTCGAGGCACTGGAGATTCTGTCTCGAGAGAGCGAGTCTAAGGTACAATGAAACCTGCTGTGGCTGAAATTAATTCCTCCTGATAATACCCTCAAATGTGACTTTGTTTTTGTGTTTTTTTATGTGTGTGTCCTGTAGGTGAAGTCAGTGCTGACCACTCTCTCAGGAGATGAGCGGGTTCAGCTCAGAGCGGATCTGGAGCTCATCAAGGAGTCTTTCTCCCTGGTAGAGTTTGATGATGAGGATGTGGACGAGAAGAAAGGTAAAATCCCTGTGAAATGCTAGCACTGCGACATTAATACAGCCCCAAACTTACCCGAATTTATGATACACTTGTATTGATTAATTGTACATTTCTGATTCCAGATGAAGACGGCTCAGAGTTTGTGAGGGAGTTAACAGAGTCCTTGGAGGGTCTCAGTGTCACTGCCACAGCAGAGAAACTCAGCAAGGTACCAACCCACACTTTTCTGTGTTTTAGATTGTTCAGTTTGAGTTGAGAACATTATTTGTGAGGCTGATATTTTAGTCGTTTTGATGCAGCCCTACACAAAAAAACAGGCATATGTATCGGTATAGAAAATAATCATACATTACAGGTTCAAAAGTTATGTAGAGTTGGCAGTACAGGTGTTATTTTATAGATTCTATTAGATTTTGCAGTTCTTGTTTTTATTGTGGTAAACAATAAAGCAATCTGGGTTGGGGAAGTTACTCACATAGTCTCTTACCTCCAACAGGCCTGTAGGAGCACCTGCAGCCAGATCACCGACATGACCAAACCAGAGCAGGAAGAAGAGGGGAGCGAGGAGGGTGTGAAGAAAACACTTTCTGTGGAGGTATGCTCATATCATCAATATTTAATATTAAAAAGAAGGGAACCATTTGAAGTCGCTATCAGATGAATTTGCTTTTTTAACAGTCGGATGGTGGATGCAGTAAATGTAGGGCAATTTTACTTAATTGTTTGATTGATCAATTATCTCATTGCACCACCCTTTACTCACATGCTAAGATGCTCCTAGCAAACGTTGCTATTGGACCTTTGATTTGTGTGGGTGTCAGAGTAAAGGCAGGACATTTGGTGAAGTGAAACAGTTTTCATATAAACCCTTTATTAACCCTTTCGTGACCATGTCAAAACTTATAAGGAAGCTCTCTCCCACGCCAAGACTCACTACTACTCCCGTCTCATCGGTGCCCAGCAAAGCAACCCCAGAACACTGTTCTCCACCATCAACCACCTACTCCACCCCCCTGACGCCCCCCAGCCCTCAGGGGCTCCGGATCTGTGCTCCAAATTCCTCGACTTCTTCCAGGCGAAAGTCGAGGCCATCCATCAGCGGCGCCTGGCCCTCCCCCCCTACCTGCACCTCAGCCACCTGGTAACGCACCCCCACTCCAACCTCTCCTCCTTCTCCCTTGTGGATGCTCTCCAAGTGGCCAAACTGCTCAGCTCGACCAAGACCTCCACTTGCTCCCTGGACCCCATGCCCACAGCCCTGGTCAAGGACTGCCTACCCACCCTCTGTCCCTACATGGTGGTCATCATCACCATTTACATGCTCCCCCTCGGCCAGATCATCTGACATCATGGACTCAATTTCCACTGTTCACTCCACTGTACACTCATCCGGGTGATGATACCCAACTGTATCTCAGCACCACTCCATCCTCCCAGCTCCCCACTCAGTCTCTCATCAACTACCTGCATGACATCAAAGCATGGATGTCGTCCAACTATCTCAAACTAAACAGCAGGAAAACAGCTCATGGTTGTGGCACCCAAGGCGCTGCTACGGAAGGTTGGTGACTTCATCCTCGAAGGTTGACGGCTGCTCCATCTCCCCATCTCCTGAAGCCCGCAACCTGGGTGTCATCCTCGACTCCACCCTTTCCTTCCACTCCCACGTCAAGTCTGTGACAAAATCGGCCTTTTTCCATCTAAGGAACATTACCAGACTCCGACCGTCACTCTCGGAGTCGGTTGCCGAAACCCTAGTGCATGCGTTTGTCACCACCCGCTTGGACTACTGCAATGGTGTCCTGTTTGGGGTTCCCAACAAACCCTGGTCAAGTCCCGCATATCCTACAAAGTCCTCCTCCTTACCTACAAGTCCCTCATGCCCTTGCCCCCCAGTACCTATCGGACATCCTTCACCCACATGCCCCTCCCCGGAACCTGCGGTCTTCAGACTCTGGCCTGCTTACCACCCCCCGCACCAAACTGCGAACCTTCGGGGACAGAGCCTTCAGTGTGGCAGCCCCCACCCTCAGGAACGCTCTCCCTGCGGAGATCCGCAACATCCCCACACTTGACGCCTTCAAAAGGGCCCTCAAGACCCATCTGTTTACTAAGGCCTTTGGCCCCTAATCTATTTGTTGTTTTGTCTGTCTGACTGGTTGTCTGACTGCCTTTTTGTTTTTGTTATGTTTGTTTTGCCCCTGTTCTTCTTTATAAAGCGTCCTTGGGTCTCATGAAAGGCGCTATATAAATCCAAGCTATTATTATTATTATTATTATTATTATTATTATGTGCTGCTGGATATATTTGTAGAAAGCTGAATATTTCCATCTACACAGTTTCTCTTCTCATGTTGATTCTTGTCCATTTAGTGTGTGTGATTGTATGTGTGTTGTATTTGTAAGGATGTCCACGCTGCAGCCATCAGGAGTCTGGCAGAGTTGACGGCTCGCTCCATCGAGCTGTTCCACAAACTGGCTGAGATGATCCTGTTCTCCAACAGCAGCACAGAGGCCAGCGCCCTGTCACAGTGAGATGCCTTTCTGTTTGGGGACACTGCAGGACTGTAGAAAGTCACATCTGGACTGTTATTAAACATCTGTATTTTTATGTTTCCTTCCTCAGGTTAACTGTTGTCTTGTGTAAAGAAATCTCACTGCTTTCCAAGAAGTTCACCTCCTGCTTAACAACGGCAGGGGTGAGTGTGATGTTTCTAACTGTTCTCTACTTTTTACACTGCTGCTGTTTATTCATCAGAAACCAACCGAATTTGATCTTTCTTTTTTACAGTCGAACGAAAAGGGAGATGTCCTCAACCCGCTGATAACAGGAGTCTTTTTAGAGGTTTGTGGCACTCTCTTCACATACAGTCACATTAAGTCACAATATTTCATTTTCAAACAGTCCAGAGGAAGTAAATCTGTGATCATCTGGATATCAAAAAATAGAAACCTATATGAGGCATTGATGATACTGCATCAGCAAAAGATAAAACTTAATTTTACATGATTATTTAGGGAAATATCAATTTCTTAAGATTAGTAAAGAGTGGAAAATACATGGTGCATGTGTTCTCAGATCATTGTTAGACTTTTTTTTCTCCTTGAAGGACAAAATCAATTATTCTAAAGCCGAAGTAACAGGATAGGAAGATTGATTGTCTGTATTCGTGCCAAAGGGCTTTTACAGGCACCCACAAGACCATTTCGGAATGATTTTGAATTGGTGTTGACATGTTTGAATCATCCCTCCTCTCAGGCATCCAACAGTGCGTCTTACATCCAGGATGCTTTCCAGCTGCTGAGGCCCATAGTGGAGATCTCCCACATCCAGAGGAGCGCTGAGTCCACAGAGCAGTGAGACGCTGACGTCCTCTCTCTCTCACCCCCACCCCCACCCCGCTGCCCTGACAGCACAGAACTGACACATCGTATTCAGGACAGAATCAACAGCACATCTGGGAGGAAAAGTGTGTTTTTGTTAAACAGTGTTAACTTTGCAGGCATTTTGATAATCCCAGTAGATGTACTCGCTGAAGTAAAGTGTTGAGAAGGTCTTGGTCTACCAGCTAAGAGAAACCTTACCCTATTATTCTTTCTTGTATTCCAACATGTACACTCTTTCTTACTGACAGCACTTGTCGATTTAAAGCAGAAGTGGAGGACTTTTACATATAAATCAATGACATTTATATTTAAGCCATTTCCAATACTGTTCACACAATGCTGAACACATCTATACCCGCCAGGAACCGCTCTTAAGAAAGATACATACGCCATAAAAACAAAAGTGGTTATTTGTTTTAAAAATGTGTCTCATAATAATTTGTAAGATAGATTGATAATGTATTTTCTCTTTACTGCACAATAGCTGGAACTTTGTATGCGTATTTCTCTAACACTGTTCCCTTGCAGCAGTTTGGGGGAGGGGTGAGTGTCTTTGGACGCAAGTATTGAACAAAATGGAACACTCTGGGTTCTAGCTGACTCAGAAAGCCTTGGATTACTTTTTTAAATATACAACACATGTATTGTCATTTTATAGTTTGACAACCTTTTTTTCATTTTATTGTAGAGCAATATCAACTTTTAAGTATGTCCATTGCCCTGCAAATACAGTAGGCATCCTTACATATTTAGGTGACTCCATGTTCAAATATCTTCCGGCTGGTTTTTTTCTCTTTTGCCACAGCTAAAATGGAAGACTAAAGACTTAACACTAATAACATTTGTATTGATGTGAGACTTGTAGCTTAAACTAAAATAACTTAAAGCAAAGACATGCAAGTTTTAAGTTTGAGCTGCTGGAACACAACAAATGACAGACAGGACCTTTTTGGACTCAGCTTGTATTTTTAACAACTAGGCCCCATTTGTAGCTTTTTCCCAATTTCTGATGAACCTGACGACACTCACAGCTCTGTTTTATCTTTATTTCAAATTTCAGTGCTCCAACTTTGTTGTCATGAATTTCATTATGCATGAAACGTAAGCTTACCTCCAGGTGTTTCAGCTTCTACCTGCCATGAGAATTGAGGTTGTCTTTAAGCCAATAACTTCCAGTTGTATGATATTACACTGCCTACAGCTATGTGATGTGGGCAAGTAAAGGGATATTTTTTCAAAAAACATACTGTAATGTATCAGATATTTTTGATGGTTTGCAAATAAATGTGCTTTCCTAGAGGCCACGTTTGTGTTTGTTTTTTATATGAGTGTGAAATATATGTCATTGAAGTAACACACTTTTTACAAAAAAGTGTTTCAAGTTAAAGTCTTTAATGTAATGAAAACAACCCTTGAAATGATAACAATGCATCATGTAGCCTACTCATATGTTTTGTATGCTGGATGTTAATTTTAAAAGTAAAATTATGTAAAATAGGTAAATGTAGTGAAAACAAAAGTTCAATTGTTGCCTTTAAAATGAAGTAAGGTAGAGGTAATTACTAGTATAACAAGAAAGTACTCTTCAACTACAGTAGCAATAAGCAATTCAGTACGTTTTAGAGTATTGTAGAGCTTACAAATCCATCTTTCCTCAACTTTTTGATTGGAAGCAGGATTCAAAATGTGGAAAAAATGTGTTATTTACCCGTTTAGCCTGTAGAGATCTCAAATCACATCATTACATGACAGTGCAGTAGGTGGCGGTATGCACATTTACCCTCTAATTGCCACCCGCCAACATACACAAAGAAGAAGACGTAGGGGACGGAGAAAACGAAGAAGAAGAACAACAGGCGCTTTTAGCTAGCTTGGCGGGTAACGTCGAGGAAATTCTGAGGTAAACCTATTTTTTATATGTATATACTTTCAACAACAATACATTTGCATGTCTCAAGTGTTCATAGCTGTGTGACATTGCAAAAAGTGGACAAGCAGAGCCGTTTTATTTATGTTTTCTTCCGGTGTTTCCTAATAACGCGAGGATTAGCTTGTGAACATTAGCCACTCATGCTAGCGCCGCAACATCGTTAGTTCGTATGAATGTTATTTTTAAATGATGACTAAACACCCTTAACCCTTTCCAAATACTTCCAGGTTAGAGGAACGTTTGTGGTTCTTTTTGTTAGGTATATATGATGTGTTAGCTCGATGTTATAAACAACTGCTAGCTAACTTGTATGAGGCTAATTCATCTTCTTGTCATGGTAACGCATAGATAGATACTTTATTGATCCCACGTTTGGAAGTTATTTTAATACAGCATCAGTGTGTTAAGGCATTACAATATTTAAAAGGTTGAATAAAGTATAAACATAATAAAATAAAAACTATAAACAGCAAACAGTCATCACTTGGGATATTAATGGTTGTATTGCACATGTGTTGCAACATTTCACACTTTGGATTGATGACTAATTCACTAATTTATATATAGATATTTCAAACTATAATAAAGATTGCTTTTTCAGTTTATTATCTTTTAGAATACTTAGTGTGTGTGTGTGTGTGTGTGTGTGTGTGTGTGTGTGTGTGTGTGTGTGTGTGTGTGTGTGTGTGTGTGTGTGTGTGTGTGTGTGTGTGTGTGTGTGTGTGTGTGTGTGTGATGTGCTTTAAACATTAGTGTGTGCATTTTCCTTATTGAAACAGCAGTCGTTCTATCCTCATCCTTGCTTAAATAATGCTGTCTTAACTCCAGTGTTGCAGTTAGATTTATACTTATTCACCAACTCATGTTTGTTGTATCCTCTCCCAGAGTCGTCCCTTTTCATCTCACCGCCTCCCCTTCACACGTGCTGCAGGATTGTTGGGCTTTTAGCTCTCGTCCAAACCTGCCAACATGCCAGCCGCAATAACTGATGCCAGTCAGATGATCTGTGAAGTCTGGGCGAGTAATGTGGAGGACGAAATGAGGAAGATCCGGCAAGTTATTCAAAGCTACAGTTTCATTGCCATGGTAAGAGATTACGTTGCTGTAAATGATTGCTTTATTTCTAAGTAAAGCTTTACATTGTATGTTGTTTTCTTAAATAATGCATTGGAGACAAAAACATTACATTAAACAACTGCAGTGATTGAGTGACGATTTGCCATCACGTTACGTTGAGCATTAACAGTGCAGGAATAATAATTAAAGGTGGAGTTTTCATCGCTGTCTTTATGTTTCATCAGGACACAGAATTCCCTGGAGTGGTTGTCCGGCCAATCGGTGAATTTCGAAGCACAGTAGACTACCAGTACCAGCTGCTCCGGTGTAATGTCGACCTGCTGAAGATCATCCAGCTCGGCCTCAGTTTCATGAACGAGGCGGGAAAATATCCTCCTGGCACGTCGACGTGGCAGTTCAACTTCAAATTCAACCTCACGTAAGTGGACCGTCCTTTCGCACCGTCTAATCAAATCCATCCTGACCTAAAAGACGTATCGGCTGATGGTTGAACGTGATGGTAGCATTGCGGGACGGGTGGCGCAGTGGTCTGTGCATCCGATCATCAGATCAAGGGGGAGTGCTGGGGAACTCCGGTTCGAAACCCGCTCCTGCCGCCACTGTGTCAAGCCGTTGTGTCCTTGGGCAAGACACTTCACCCGGATTTGCTCCTGTGGGTATTGTCCACAGTACATGTATAATACCAATGTGTACCTGTAAAAGCGCCTCGATTTCTTCGAGGCGTGAAGATGGACGGTGTGGCGCAGTGCGCTGTGCAATGATCATCAGATCAAGGGGTGAAACCCGCCGCTGCTGCGTCTGTAAAGCCGGTGTGTCCTTGGGCAAGACACTTCACCTGAACTTGCTCCTGTGGGTATTGTCCACAGTATCTGACCATTGCATGTATCATATATGTGTAATGTGTGTATATGTAAAGCGCTTTGAGTCATTGATAAAGCGCTATAATAAATGTAAGGTATTATTAATTATTAATTATTAGCATTCCTTTAATGTCACTATGTTTTTGCTTTTTTTTTGCTCATCACAGAGAAGACATGTACTCGCAGGACTCCATAGACCTACTCCAGAACTCCGGCCTCCAGTTTAAAAAGCATGAAGAAGAGGGAATCGACACACTCTACTTTGCTGAGCTCCTCATGACATCCGGCCTGGTGCTGTGTGAAAACACAAAGTGGCTCTCCTTCCACAGGTCAGCCGTCTGTTCTGATTCAGCTCTTACAGTTTCTTGAATGTTATATTATTTATTTTAAATAATTCATAAAAAATCACTTCATATCATTTTGGTTACATCTCTAAATGTTACTAGAGCCTTAAAGACTATACAATATATTAGAATTAATTGGTGGGGACTAGGGATGCACCGAAAATTCGGCCACCGAAAATTATCGGCCGAAAATGGTTAAAAAGGCCCTTTTCGGCTTTCGGCCGAAAGGGTTTTAGCACCGAAAAAATATCACCGAATGTCAGAACAGGCAACCTAACGTGTTGTTGTGATGACGTAATAAAGACGCGGCGACGCGGCGAGGCAGGGACCATGCTCACGGCTGGCTCACAGCCAACATATCTGCCGCTTGGAGATACTTCACAATATCAGATAAAGAGGCGCGGATTGCGATTTGCAAAACGTGTTCAGCTGACATTTCTCGAGGGGGTGTAACTTCAAAGACTTTCAGCACTTCGGGATTACTCCATCACTTGAAATCTAAACACCCGGACCAATATACGGAGTATGATGAAATCACCAGCGCACAGAGAAAAAAAAGTCCTTCCCAGCACCCCGACTCCTTCTGTGGCGGACCTTTTTGAAAAGATTAAAAAGTTTCCCAGTGATGGTCCTAAGGCAAAGGGCATTACTCGGAAGTTAATGGAATGCATCGCCATGGACGATCAACCGTTTTCTGTCGTACAGGACGTTGGATTTCGTAGGCTTATTGAGCATATTGAGCCACGTTATTCCTTGCCTAGCAGACAACACTTAGCAGACGTGTGCTTACCTGAACTGTACAATGTCGTTGCTAATCACATCCATGAGCTCTTGGCTACAGATATTACAGCCATCAGCTTCACGACAGACATATGGAGCTCAGACGTAAGCATCACCAGTATGCTCAGTCTAACTGCACAATGGATCGACAAGGATTTTAAACTGCAAAAGATTCTGCTGCATTCGCAAGAGTTTAGGGGGTCTCATACAGCACAATCCATCTCCTTGACATTCGCCAATATGTTCGACACATGGCATATCGACCGACCTAAAGTGCACGCAATAGTCAGTGATAACGCAAGAAATATGACTAAAGCTATAGAAGAATGCAATCTGAGTGGAATACGCTGCATGGCCCACACTCTGCAATTAGCTGTGAACGAGGGAGTGTTGGCTCAACGCAGCGTAAAAGATCTGTTGGCCATAAGCAGAAAGATTGTTGGTCACTTCAAACATTCTCAACTGGCCTATTCTCGCATTGAGCCAATACAAGATGAGCTTGGAGTAACAACGAAACGGTTCCAACAAGATGTGAGTACACGGTGGAACAGTACTTATTATATGCTGGAAAGCCTCTTTGCTCAAAAGCGAACCTTGGCTACATACAGCGCAGATCATGATCTCCCCGCATCATTCACTCCAAACCAGTGGATCTTAATGGAGAACATTCTCTCCATTCTTGCCCCATTCGAACAGCTAACTAGAGAGATTAGCTCATCTGACGCATCGGTGGCAGACGTCATCCCTTTAAATGCGGCTCTAAAGCGTCTTCTAAGGAAAGAGGTTGAAACGGACCGTGGAGTAAAAACTATGAAAAGTACACTCTTGGAGTCTGTCAACACACGTTTTGCTGATATCTACTCTGATCCCCTGTACTGTATCGCGACTGTACTTGACCCGCGATATAAAGACAATTATTTTGATGCGGGGAAAAAGCAAAGCGCACGAGACATGATCCAGGCTGTGTTGGATAAGGAGAACCCACGAGAGGAGGCTGCTGCGCACAGCACAGGAGACGTGACGCAGACCACAGAAAAAAGGGCTCGTCTGTCTACAGCAGAGGAGGAGAGGGGGCAACCACCCTCGTTGTCTGATATGTTCAACGAGATCATGGAAGAGAATACTACCCCAAATAGGTAGGCTACTCTGTTCTGACTTGGTTACTTACTGTACTATGTGCTACTGAATGTGATATTTATTAGTACTGTATGTGCTGCCATGTAATATGCTCTTAATGTTGTAATTTCTTTTGACATGTCAGATGATTTTATTTGTCTGCCAAGTGATCTGGCATGCGTAAATATACATTTGACTAAATGTTCATTATGCACTGTCCCTATTTTAAATACAATCTTATTCTCTCAAACCTCTCAAATGCCAGGCTGGTGACAAGCTCAACCGCTCAACAGTTAGATGATTATCTCTCAGAAGTACCCATCCCCAGAAGCGAGAACCCTCTTGGATACTGGAGAAACAAACAAGACCGCTTTCCTGACCTGGCCAAGGTGGCACGCAAGTATTTGAGTGCTCCATGCACAAGCACTGACAGCGAGAGACTGTTCAGCGCTGCCTCTCATGTGCTTGATGAGAAGAGGAACAGACTCATGGCTGATAAAGCAGAGAAGCTACTGTTCATTAAAAAGAACCTCCCACGTTTCCTTAATAAGTACACAAGGCTGGCTTATCATAGGCTTATCATAGGCTTTCATTTGTAAATACTATAGTTACATTCATGTGGATTTATCCAGTTTGCACATTTGTATGCATGCACTTATAGGTGCATTTGTTGTTGTTGTTGTTGTTGTTGTTGACACTATTTTGTTGTAGGCCTACTGGCCTAGATGTTTATGCTGTTTTAAAGCCCCTTGGCTTTGTTCTGAATGCACTTTGTTGTAGTTATTATCCTACAGAGAAAATAAATGTACAAATGTTCAAAAGTGCTGAATAAATGTTTTATGGACCCATAATAGTGATTATTATTTAAGTTATGCCATAAGTTGCCATAATCATGTCTATTTCCATAATCAGGTAGCTGAACAACATTGGTAAAAAATGTATACATTATATATATATATTTCTATTAATCATTTTCGGCCTTTCGGCATTCGGTTTTCGGGCCAACTGTTTCCTATTTTCGGTATCGGTTTCGGCCAAGAATTTCCCATTCGGTGCACCCCTAGTGGGGACAGTGGATCTTGCACACCTTTCGATCAAGGCAGAAATGCCCCCGGACATAGCCTGCTTTCTATCTCCAATGTTATTTTGGGAAAATAGAAAAATAAAATAACAGCAGTTGAATTTATCCTGAAAAGTTTAGAACCCAACCCAATTCTCTAGAGAAGCATTGATTAGTTTCCTACTTGTAACTGCACCCATAATTGGTGTTTTTTACAGCTTTCTGTTTGATACAGTATTCTGGAGTCCATCCTAAACCCAACCTCTGTTCTGTTTCTCTTAGCGGCTACGACTTCGGCTACCTGGTGAAGCTCCTAACAGACGCACGGCTCCCTGAGGAAGAACACGACTTCTTCCAGATCCTCAACCTGTTCTTCCCCGCCATCTACGACGTCAAGTACTTGATGAAGAGCTGCAAGAACTTGAAGGTATTCAAGAGTCCTTTATTGTGGAGTCCTAACTCCACTTAAGAACAATAGAGGGCTTATGAACATTGTAGCGAAGATGGCAATTGAAACACAATGAAATGAGACTGGAGCGCCACTATTTAATAAAAAATATCCACAGATATACAGTGGGGCAAAAAAGTATTTAGTCAGCCACCAATTGTGCAAGTTCTCCCACTTAAAAATATGAGAGAGGCCTGTAATTTTCATCCTAGGTACACTTCAACTATGAGAGACAGAATGGGGGGAAAGAATCCAGGAAATCACATGGTAGGATTTTTTTTTTATGAATTCCTCCGTAAAATAAGTATTTGGTCACCTACAAACAAACAAGATTTCTGGCTCTCACAGACCTGTAACTTCTTCTTTAAGAGCCTCCTCTGTCCTCCACTCGTTAACTGTATTAATGGCACCTGTTTGAACTTGTTCAGTATAAAAGACACCTGTCCACAACCTCAAACAGTCACACTCCAAACTCCACTATGGCCAAGACCAAAGAGCTGTCAAAGGACACCAGAAACAAAATTGTAGACCTGCACCAGGCTGGGAAGACTGAATCTGCAATAGGTAAGCAGCTTGGTGTGAAGAAATCAACTGTGGGAGCAATTATTAGAAAATGGAAGACATACAAGACCACTGATAATCTCCCTCGATCTGGGGCTCCACGCAAGATGTCACCCCGTGGGGTCAAAATGATCACAAGAACGGTGAGCAAAAATCCCAGAACCACACGGGGGGACCTAGTCAATGACCTGCAGAGAGCTGGGACCAAAGTAACAAAGGCTACCATCAGTAACACACTACGCCACCAGGGACTCAAATCCTGCAGTGCCAGACGTGTCCCCCTGCTTAAGCCAGTACATGTCCAGGCCTGTCTGAAGTTTGCTAGAGAGCATTTAGATGATCCAGAAGAGGATTGGGAGAATGTCATATGGTCAGATGAAACCAAAATAGAACTTTTTGGTAAAAACTCAACTAGACGTGTTTGGAGGAGAAAGAATGCTGAGTTGCATCCAAAGAACACCTACTGTGAAACATGGGGGTGGAAACATCATGCTTGGGGGCTGTTTTTCTGCAAAGGGACGACTGATCCGTGTAAAGGAAAGAATGAATGGGGCCATGTATCGTGAGATTTTGAGTGACAACCTCCTTCCATCAGCAAGGGCATTGAAGATGAAACGTGGCTGGGTCTATCAGCATGACAATGATCCCAAAGACACCGCCCGGGCAACGAAGGAGTGGCTTCGTAAGAAGCATTTCAAGGTCCTGGAGTGGCCTAGCCAGTCTCCAGATCTCAACCCCATAGAAAATCTTTGAAGGGAGTTGAAAGTCCGTGTTGCCCAGCGACAGCCCCAAAACATCACTGCTCTAGAGGAGATCTGCATGGAGGAATGGGCCAAAATACCAGCAACAGTGTGTGAAAACCTTGTGAAGACTTACAGAAAACGTTTGACCTCTGTCATTGCCAACAAAGGGTATATAACAAAGTATTGAGATGAACTTTTGTTATTGACCAAATACTTATTTTCCACCATAATTTGCAAATAAATTCTTCACAAATCAGACAATGTGATTTTCTGTATTTTTTTTTTTTCTTATTCTGTCTCTCATAGTTGAGATATACCTAGGATGAAAATTACAGGCCTCTCATCTTTTTAAGTGGGAGAACTTGCACAATTGGTGGCTGACTAAATACTTTTTTGCCCCACTGTATAAGACAGTCATTTTGTCCAAACCTCATCAGAGGTGTTGATTTCAATCAACTTTAGTTGATTTCAATCAACTTTAGTTGATTGGGCAAATGATCCTTCTTACAATATAAGAAATCAAATGATGTCAAAACAAGTCTTGAGCTATCTGACATGTGTTATTGCAGGGAGGGCTGCAGGAAGTAGCGGAGCAACTGGAGCTAAAGAGGATCGGGCGGCAGCATCAGGCCGGGTCCGACTCGCTTCTCACCGGCATGGCTTTCTTCAGGATGAAAGAGGTACGGTTAAAATGCTTTAGTCTAGCTGAGCTGCAGTTTAAGCCGCCTTCAAATGTCTTATCCCTGATAAATTACAATATTTCTAGAATTCGTTTACTGTAAACTGTGCAGAAGGATGCACTCTGATTCTTATTTATTTTTTGTCCGAAACACGATTGGGATCATCACGTGAAAAACCTGACTTTATTCTAAGACCTAAAATCGGCTTTTATGGCCCTAGGCTTAAGGTTACCATGCCTTGCTAGAGCTTCACTCACCTACTGTTATACTTCCCAATGTAACTTCCTGTTTTAAAAGGAAATGCAGTATACCAAGGAAATACTTTTTCACCCTGATAAGTTTGCATACCCGAATACAGCATGTTAGAGTGGAAGATGGGCTTTCATATCTACTGCAGAATGTAATGGAAATCTGTTTTTTCTGTCTCAGCTTTTCTTTGAGGACAATATCGATGATGCAAAGTATTGTGGGAGATTATACGGCCTGGGCTCGGGCTCCACCCAGCCACAGAACGGCATCTCCGGCTCGGGTCAGGAGGAGACCAACAACAAGCACTGACTGACCTTCAAGTGGAACACGCACTTGTTTTAAAAACCCAACCAGCAGATTCCCCCCTGATCTCCCTCAACACGTGATCCCTGAACGAGACTAAACATATTTCTTTACATTTTCCTCCCGAGTGACTGTAAAATGGACACGGACTCACAGTGACATTGGATCCTTCACTGGCTCAGACGTTTCTTTTTAGTCGCTTTTACTGAGTATATGGCCACATATTCAGAACCATTTTTTTAAACCTGTTTTTGTTTCGCAGCATTATTCCCCCCCCCCCCCCCCTCCCCCTCCCCCCTCCCCCTCCCCCCCTCCCCCCTTCAACAGCATGGGACCAGCTCCTCCATCATACTATGATTTCAGACCAAACCTTGCCAAAAACAGTCAGTTTGTTCAGTTCAGAATATCCTTCTCATCAGCAGGACTCGTCTCTTGTTGCAGGGATTTCATTTTTTTAAGTTAATGTTGGAAGGGCCTGTAAATTAAAATGTATAATTTTGATGAAAATAAAAATGTTTTAGCTCTTTTCCACTTTCAGAAACTTTTAACAGTGGGCGTCGAAGTGTGTAACTGTGCTTGGTTATGCATGTGTCTCAATGGGCAAACTACTGTGGTTCTGTACATTCACCCACCATGACAAACTGTCCACCACCAGGTTTACAGATGTTGTGGTTGCTGTTGTTTTTACATTCTACATTGTTTTAAACAGTTGTATATTAAATTGTTTTGTATTTTGAATGTAAACGTTAAGTATTCAATCTTTTTTACCAGCCACACTGACAAGCAGCTTGTTTAACATTTGTTTCAATGGCTTTTCAAGTAAAGGAGACTTAATGCCAGATTTACCCAAACATGTCTGCAATCTCGCATTTAAAATAAAAAACTAGGGCTGCAACAATTGGATTAATCAGTCAGAAGAAAGAACATGTATAAACTTTGTGCACAATTGCCAATTTATCAAGCATAAAAATGCCAAATATTTTCCATCTTTTTACATATTTGTTTTGTCAGTAAAATCTCATGCCATAAATTGTAAAGCCACACTACCTTCACTGCCCAAAGATATACAACATTTATTGAAACACTAGAACAGGGGTCTGTAACCTTTTGGAGCCATTTTGCCCCCTTATCCACCAATTTATTTTGTCTGGAGCTGCAAAACATTTGATAGCTTATACAGGTATATAACTACTGTTTTTTTGCATTTATTACATTATAGAAAACCGTTTACCTCTAATAATAATCGAATAACAAAAAAAAAGACTTTCAGGCTTTTCTGGAAGTAGAATCAAATAAAGTTTATTTTTACTCATAAAAAAAAAAAAGCTGTACAAAGGAAGTGCTTCTTTCAGTCTTTAAATGAAAGATTCAGGTAAGGAATTTCTGAGCAGTTTTGAGGACGGAGGGATCTTTTCCGTATTTGCGGAGCAGATCTTTGGCCTTTTGTTGGTGCGACTCTGAGAGAGACGAAGACTTGCTGATGTGCAGGAGAACCAGACAGCATTCAACAACATCGGGGTGAGGATACATCTGAGAGGGAACAGGAAAATGATTGAGTTATTAGAAATGAAACCCTTCTTAAATCACTTGATAGTCAGCTTGTTTGGTATTGATAGTTGTGTCGTTATCAATATTTTAGTATTGCACCGCAGACCTCTTTCAGTCATAACAACTTGGTTTTTAATTAACAATAATTAAATACCTTGATTGTGTTCGGCAGGTTAGCCAGCTGTTTCTGGTGTTCTGACATCTTGGTAGACAGAGAGAGCAGGGTGTCCTGCTCCTCAGGCCTGAGGGAGAGCACATACAGAAGCTTAATGGGACAATCCAACAAGATCAGCTGAACACTTGAAATGTTCAAAATGCTCCTGGAACTGCTGAATTTAATCACCTAGTATGTCATTACAAAGTGAACTAAATTAAGGCATAGTATTATGCCATAAAAAAAACGTCATGTCATTTGAAACTAGAGATTTAGACAAGCATAATTTTGGATACTGCATGTGTTAGAATTAAATCAGTAAATCAAAGAGTACTGAATGGTATATTTTATAGTTTCACAGACAAACATGATATGAAGAGACCCACGAATGTGTCAGTAATCATCAGTAACGGAGCCCTCACCTTTGCTCAGCATTAGCAGAGCCCTCTCTGCTGGAGGAGAGCTGCAGGGGCCTGTCTGCGGCCTCCTTCTCCCCAGAGTCCAGCTGCCCTACCTGGGCCCGGCTGTGCCTCAGCACCAGGGCTGCGATCCGCTCCTGGATCTCCCTCACTGACCTCTGGGAGGCCTGACAGGCGGCGTGACGCTCAGACAGAAGCCCATACGCAACGAGGTCCAAGTCATCAAATGTCCTAGTCTCCGGACTGACACTCTCCCCTGACTCAGAGACATCTCCTTCTCCATTCACCACTTTCTCCTCCACCTCCTCTCCACGACTGCAGTCAGCTAATGGGAGGGAACATCTGCTCTGGATCTGGGTGGGGTTGCTCCACCAGTGTTGGTACAGACGGTGGTAATGGACGAACGCCTCAAGACTGTCAGCAGCAGCTTTGGCTTCCTCCTCTGCGTACTGAAGTACTTTGGGGTGATTTAATGAACAAACAGTGACCTTACCTGGTGAAATGGAGAAAAAAATAAAGATTGGTGTGGCAGCTCTAGTTACAGATCAATCAAATGTATATATTTGGGCTGCATATGATGATTATTTCCATGATCAATTCATCCATTGATGGATCAAATCATGTTACAGCAGAAACGATTTGACATTTGAAAATGTATATCTGGTATTTCAAATTGGTTTAGTTCATTTCATGTGTACCAATTGCTAAAATCTCTTTTAGGCACTTTCAACATGAGTACAGTGACTGTCTCTCATTTGATCAAGCAGCAAGGACACTCAGATCCTCCAATGTTTCACTTTTAAAAGTGCATTACAAGAACACTGGGGAGGCTGCTTTCTGTTTTTATATCGCCCCAAACTGTGGAACCATTTGATCTTAGAACGGCAATTGGAATTAAAAAAAGTAAATTAAAGATCTTTTTAATTTGGCTTATACATTTGTAGTAGTATCACTGTTCATGTTTTATTGTTTTAACATATTTTAATTATGTTCCTCATTTGTTATCGTCATACTCTGTAAAGCACTTTGGGCTGCGTCAAGCATGAAAGGTGCTATATAAATAAAGTTTATTATTATTAAAGGGCATAACACTAAATTATGATAGGAACAGTGTCAAATCAACCAAAAACAGAAATCTTCTAGACTGATGTCTTGAGGCTTGACTTAAAAAACGTAAACATATTACTCTAGCCAAAATCTCAAAGAATTAAATGATTAAGAAAGAAACCAAATTAAAACTAGATTGATGGATTACAGACATACCGTCAGGGAACAGCAGCCTGCAGAGCTCTGCAGAGACACAGAAGTGTCCGGCGTCTCTGAGCCAGGCCACCGCCTGCCACAGCTCCTTTATCAGCTGCCCGTCATCGTCTGATAACCAGCTCAACACAGCACGGGTCAGATGGAGGGAGGAATACAGCTGAACCTGAGGACAAGGACAACAACAAAGACACACAACAAGATAGAGACAGATCAGGGAAATGGTTGAGGTACTTATAACTGATAAGACACTTCAATCGCTATCATTTGGCCACTTTAATTAGCACAAATTGTTTAAAATCATGCGAGTACTTTGAAGACTGTGCACCTGTCTGAGAGGAATGTTGGCGGTGGGTGTAGGACTCTCCAAAGACTTCAGCTCCTGCATAAGAGTTTTGACGCTGCGGTGTCCTGCAGACGCTTGTGAAACGCCAAACTGCTCCTCCCACACGGCTTTCACACGGCCATGGATGCTGATGTGACGCTCGCCTGGAGACGCCCACAGGTTAGTGGAGACGCAGGGCGGAGACGCAGCCTGAGGGTCTGCCAACATCACGGCCAGCAGCTCAGCGACACACAGATGCAGCCTGTGGACCTGTACAGGGTGGAAACACTTTATTAAGAGTTTATTTCAAAAAAAATTCAAATCTTTTTTTGACCCTATTCTTTGGATGTATAACCTGTAAAGTCATTTATTTGAGAAGATGAGCAGGTTTCTTTAAGATGCATATGGATTTTAGAGATTAGGAATTTAAATATACAAAACAACATATCATGCTCAAAATGCAGATTTCTCTTCAAGACCTGCCCAAAGCAATATTTAATAGGAATACCCAAAACATTTGCAGTGGTTCCCAACCATTTTTGCATGTCTTGTTGTAATTCAAGAAAAAGATCATCATCCTGTCTCAAACTGACAAAACAATAAAAGTTTTATTTTCTGCGCTGCAGGAAAGTGTTTCTGTGTCATGTTGTTTCCACTGACCAGCAGGCTCTCCTGTGAGCTCAGGACCTCCTGGGCTGCGGTCCAGTCCTGAGCGGCTGCCAGGTCCTTAGCGCACCGCAGCGCCAGCGACTGAGCCAGGGCAACCTCTCCGGAGATTCTGGCCAGACTGGCCGCGGTGCTCAGCGAGGAGACGTCGTTCTTCCTGGCGATAACTTTAGCAGCGTCGAAACTGGCGCCAGCAGCCAGGTAACTGGAAGACGAGGTAAAACAAACAGGAAAGGACACGTTTAAATAAAGTCTGCAATAGAGTTTTACATTGACATTAACTGGCAGTTAAATCACACCAGGAGTACGAGAAGACACTTTCAGGAATCCTTCCAGTTCTTACCATTTAGCGGCTGCAGAGAAATGTCCGTCCCTCTCCAGCACGGCGGCCCAGCAGGTGTACAGCTCCTTCAGGACCGGCTCCTCTGCTGGCAGCCTGGCTTTTACCAGGGCTATGGCCTCTCTGACGTAAAACACACAGATCTGTTCTTTTAGCATATAAACATCTTTGCCGTGAAAACCAGAAACATGGCTAGATCTGCTGCGAACAACTAGAAATGTTCAAGTTCTTTCATTTTACCCTCCATGCTGTAGCACAACAACATGTGCAGACCAAACAAACTGTGCACATTACTGTGTAGGTATTTGACCGAAGGCTAATAACAAAAATAAGTAAATAAATGCTCATTTGAACAAAAGGATGAAGAGAGGGAACCTGTAGAGCTTGTGAGAGCGCAGCAGGTCGATGGCTTCGTACAGCTTGTTGATTGACAGCAGGTGAGATGCTGCCTTCAGGTACTGCTCCTGCAGACACAGCTGCTTCACAAAGGCCTCCACTGTCCGGCTCCACACCTGGAACCCCGCTGGAGGAGGAAACACAGGAGTTGTTGTAATGCCTGGAAGC